TTTGTTTGGGGAAATCCGCACCAGAATCAGTTCGATGAATTACACAAAGGTGGAATAGAAAACGGTCAAAATATGACAGGAAAAAAGTGGTACGAACTTCATATACGCAACAGGAGCGCTAATTAGCTTAATCGATTCGTAGTAGCAGCCAGTGAAGTGAAATACAAAATGCAAAATTTTTATCGGCTTAAGTAGCTACCCCGAATCAACCGCTAGATCCGGGGTGACGCCAAAAATATCACCTTTAAGCGAAACGGATAAAAGTGTAGCTGACAAAAGTACTCATCGCTGAGGAGGCTAGATACGTGAGATAGCGCATGCGGAAAAAGAAATCACTTCGTCAAGCGCAAAGTGTGAAGAGAACCCAGATTGGGGCAAAATGGAGCTCAAACGAAAATCGTCATTCCGCAAACAAGTAACTCGGAACAGGCGAACTGTGGATATAAGTACAAAGAACCTAATCCTAAGCATCTGGTGCGCCCTGAAAAGTGCAATTCGATCATTCGCTATTTAGTCCAGTATACTGCTGTTTTATGTCCGCGAACCAACTTCATATCCTTTATTAAATCAAATTCAAAGTGAATGCCACACCGGCGAAAAAATCCCGCGATTGTAAAAGCGACAAGCAACTACCGTATCGATGAACGGATCTATTCTCAGATATAAGGCGCACCGTATTATAAGGCGTATAAAGCGAAACAAAATAGTCAGATAGGTCAGACTTAATTCAACTCATTAACAATAATTGTCAATATTGTTCACTAGTAACCCACATAAAACAGAAAAATATACTCACTTTTTCAACCCTTCCAGTTCTACACATTCGTCAACTTCCTCATCTTCAGTGTCGGAGTTTAACAGTTGGGCGATAGCTGAGTCAAGCAAGCCCAGACCCCTCTCCTCGTCATCCGAGTCAATCACGTTGCTGTTACTTGGCTGTTCATTAATGATTCCAGCCTTACTGAAAGCTCGGACGACAGTTGAGACCGATACCTCGACCCAGGCATCGACGATCCATTGGCAGATAGTGGCGTAACTAGCCCGGCGTTGCCTCCCTGTCATGATAAATGTGTGCTCACCTTCTGTTATCCAATGCTCCCAAGCGGCTCGCATTTTAACGCCCTGTCGACACCAATATCTAGCGGTTGGAGTTCTTTGGTTAATGCTCCCGGAATGATGACAAGCCCCGAATTAGTTTTCTTCACTTGGCGTTTGACAGTTTCAGTGTGATGGGTGCACATGGAGTCGTAGATCAATAAGGACGGAAACGTGCGTAAAAGGTCATCCGGCGTCCTAACTTAAGATTCTTTCAGCCACTCGCTCATTTTCTCCTCGTTCATAATGCCTTTTGGGTTGACTTTGACGATGACCCCAACAGGAAGCCTTACTTTTGACAGTCTTCCTCTTAAAAATGACCATGGGTGGTAGTTTTTGGCCATTAGCCTGGCCACCGATAACTACAGTGAAGAATGATTCGTCGTTCCCTGTGGGGCGGATAGATACAATAGAGGTCCCTGTTTTTCAACACTACGGTCCACCGGGATTTCAAAGCTGAGAGGAACCTCGTCCATGTTTGTGATGTGGTCTGGCTGGATCTTCTTTTCGGTGATCTTGTTCTTGCAGTAAGTGCGGAAGATGGCCAACTTTTCTTCGTAATCCTTTGGCAGTTGCTGCGAGGTGGTAGTTCTTGTGCGGATGGAGAGATGACGCCTTTTCATAAAACGGAAGCACCAAGAAGGACCTCGTTGAAAGTCATCCATTTTCAGATCACGTGCCATTGCTACTGCCTTGAATCGAATGGAGATTGTAGAGACGCTTCTACCTGCTGTTCTCTGTTCAGCAATCCACTGCTCAAGTTTGTCCTCTAACTGTGGCCACCTTGCCTCTTTTCCTTCGGAAACTCTTCATTGTCTTATGTATTTGGTGCTGTTCATCCTCTTGCTTGTTCCACTTCCGTACCATTAATTTATTAAGGTTGTATTGTTTCGCAGCTGCTCTCTTCGCATGTTGTACTTTGTGGCGGATGGCCTTGAGTTTTAGATCCGCTTCGTAAGCATGTATCTTAATAGGTGTCATTTTGGGGTCCTTAATGACCCGCGTGTTGAAGAACCAGTACGTATCAGGAAAAGTGGTAGGGGTAAGCGAACTAGCTTCGTCTTGATCGCCAGCATGCGACTGGCGCTGAACAATGTTATCGTGCTTGACCTCATATCTAGACCAGATTGTGTTACCACGCATTTCTCTGTAAGTGTACTGTTACTCTCTCCGTAGTACACGCACGAGGGCGTATGTTCCAGTTGTCTATCTGAAAACCTCAGTTTGGACGGTGATGTGAGTGAAGTTTACACGAGCGTCGCCGACTGTCTGGATGACCACACGTCTTTGAAACACTGGTGTGAAAGCAGATCGTGCGTTCAAACAGTCACCTGAAACCAGCGCGATACAAATGCGTGTTTTGGACAGTGTTTACAAGGCGCATTGTCGGACCAAATGAGTTTGCCGGGTGGAGCAACCATCACATATATCATGGAATGGGATATCAGCGTGGATGGTTGAATAGTTGGCTGGTTTATCGTCGCTCGAATCAGTTGGCTCCTGCACAGAGTTCACCATCTAAAAACAAGTCTGTCTAAACAACATAGAAAGCTGACTCCACGAGGTTCCTGACCAGCCATTATGTTTCGACAATCAAAGTCGTAATGAAACATTTTGACAAATTTTTCAGCGCAGTGTGAACATAGAAATTGATTCGAGGTTACTGGGTCTCAGCACAACCACTCACACATAATGCGCACCGGAATATAAGGCGAACTGCCGATTTTTGTTAAAGCAAATATAAGGATTTTAAGTGCTCCTTATAGTTCGAAAAATACGATATTTTCTTTGTAGACACAGAATGCTAAGAGATATGGTAAAATAGTGATCAAGATATAACTTACGAAAGTGTAGAGAGTGAGGGTAGTTTAGTCACATCACGGTAAGAAGTCAAATGCAGCTAGCCTGGTGCAAATCGGAAGAACCAACTGGTTTGATTATTCCGATTCGTTCTCTATGGGGCAACAAACAGTAGGGGTAACAAAGCAAACGTCGGGAACGACGGGCATTCAAACCTGTGTTGTACTGACTCTCCAAAGTGCAGCGGTACAACGTACCGATATAGCGCTCTTATGAAATCCCGCAAGTGGTTAAATGCCAAGCAGGAAACTGCAGGGGTGCTAAAACGCCTAGATAAGTGGGGAGTCTAGCTGGGATGGGGCAGAGATTTCAAGGGAAACAAGTAATTCACCATACTTGATCTAATGGGGAGCCCACAAAGCGTTGAAGTTCCAGCACTTCATCGGTGGGTAAGGTAAGAAGAAGAAGTGTAAAACCTCTCAAAATGAGCCCAGCAAGGACTCCGAATGCAGCATTACGGGAAAAATGAGTGTAGCTGCAAACTTTATGGACCGTCCATTCTGATGAATGCATGGCCGCTACTAAAGGGAAGACAATGTTAGACAATGAGGAGTGGTGCTATGACTGCAGAGGAGGTATAACACCGGTAGTAAGGAGTGGACAAGCGGTTTATTCAAGCATTGAGAAATTGCGATATTTTAGAACTACAGGGATTAAAAGCAGTAAAACGGATAGGCTTCGACGTCCCTGTTAATCCTTTGGTTGGATGGTTTGTGCGGGAAAACAATATCGCCACCACTCACATGTGAGACAAAATTGTAATCTTTGAGGAGTTAAAAAGGGAATTCATTGGTGTCGTTTGAGTGGGTTAAGATAACGATGTACAGAATTAACGCAAATAACAGTTGAAAGAATGTTAATCACCATGGAGAAAAACAGAGCTATCAACCATCTTAACGCTTGTCCTTTGCTTATTTTCGTACTCAGTAAATCCTGTGGTAAAGCAAGGATATTATGAGTGCCATAAAAACTGCAGCCAATATCCATCGACTAGTCCTGCTTGAAAGTGATGGTATCATCACAAAAATAAATGGTTATACTGTAGTAAATAAAGAGCACGCTGATTATTGATATTTGATTTCCTATGGTGTCGCGTCGGGTTGGTTGCTTACTGCTCTAGCAAAAACAGCACCACGTAAGAACCTTATCCAGATTGGTGATTAATGATTTATCAAATTTATCTTACATAAGGTAAAAAACGGTAAATGTCCGTCAGGTGAGCAGACTGCGACGGAAAACTCAAAACAAATGGCTAGACGTAGATATCATGCAGAATCAGCAACTGACCAAAGATGGCAAGAAGTAAGTATCACACTGGGTGGCAAATCCTATGATGCGTGCCACTTTGACAAAAGCAAACAGATACACCACCAAGGTTCACCATGTATGATGGGTGCGGATGATGTCTCGACCACAGGGGAAGAGTGCCATCTGGGCGAGCTCAGCGTGGAATACGCAGATCTACTCATGATATATCTTAATGTTCGATGCGTGTGGCTGAAATTATAAACTTATGCAAATATAATGATGAAAGGAAAAACAATATCAGGACAACAAACAAGTAGACCATTTATCATCAAATGTGAATTCGTCGAACGCGAAAGGTTAGTGAAGATGATCGTTAGTATCTGGATTGTAACTGTCAGTACAGACCACCGAAAAGCAAGAGGGGGCACAGAATGGGTCCAAAATGAGGATGCAGATGTTGTGCCCCCAAAATCAGACCACGAGCGAACGTGCAACAAAACTGCGGAGGTCGTCGAGGACACGCAAGTGTGCAGCAGCTTAAACGGTGCCAAATACTCGGTTATTGGCAATCCATTGCGCCTAAAAGCAGCACATGGGTGATGAACGGTGCAAATGGTTTTCGAAACAGGAAACTAAACGCCACACCACTACGCAGTGTTCAGGTTTATTCAGGGTTATCCCCACACCAGCTCACATGCCCCGACTGTGGGTGGTCGGGAAGGGTTAAAACGGATAAGCAACAGAACTACATAAACATAAGGACAGAATCCCACCAGTGGGGGAAGGGTTCGGTTTACCTGAAGAAAAACGAACACCCACGAACACTGTTGTGAGAGAAATGATCTGGATTCGTTTCATTTCCAAAGTCTTCCAGGGGGTCGGACCAAAGAAGATCGCACATAGGGCCGGAGGGAGGTGGTTCTTTGTAGCGATCAATCTGTAGGCGAAAAAACGTAAGAAACGATGAAGTTGTGGGAATAGTAAGCAAAGTAGTGACTAGGTAGGTGACCAAGGAAATCGGCTGCAAATGGTTTAAGTGTTTAACGATTGCCAAGTACCACTAGATGCCAGCAATCAAAGTTAATTGTAGTAATGTCATGCATGCAGATTAACAGCCATAAATCAAACCGTTAACATGTTGAGTTTGCAATGGCATCGCTAATTACAAAGTATCGTAGGTTACACAGGAAAAATGTTGTCATGGATGTCGCAAAGTGCGGGAAAAGCAAGAAAGGCAAGGGAAGAAGTCCTTGAGACAGGTAAAATCATGCTGACCTTTACAAATGCCACAATAATGACAAGGAACAACGGGACCGGGAGTAAACTTAAAAATATCAAAGTGAATTTCGCATGTTATCCAAAATGGTTATCTGCGGAGAGCACCGAAGTACATACATCATTTCGGTGTTGGACTTAACAATCCTGGTCAGAAGATGAAAAGCGCCTGTTATTTATTTTTACGGAAATATGTTTAAATGGGTACTGTGACCTTTATTAACGTTTGCCAGAAGGAAAGAACAGAACAGATGATGGTATTCAGCACAGTAGCAGCTCAGGTTTAGCGTGGTCGATGATTGCACGCAAACAAAGGGTCACGCAACCCTGTTGATCGTAACCCAACAATTACACAATCACCATCTGGTCCTGTTGAGGTCGGGAAGGTATCTAGACAAAATTAGCTGATTCCGTACTACAAATGACCGCAGCCATTGATCACCTCCGACTTAGCCAAAGTTCATTTGTGAGCAGCTTGAGTCAGGGTTAGATGACATTTCTGAACACGATTTCGATTAACAAGATCCTGTCATTCGCGGTCAAAACGCCATTCACACGAACTGGGTCGAGGAGTCCCTTAGGTACAAGATGAAACATCGTCTGTCATTTGATATCGGCACCGATCAAATCAATAAAAGAGACTGCACCAGGTTGAAAGCCGTCGGTCACGCGACTTGCATTCACAATGCGCAAGGGCTGAAGCTAATTCAAAGCCGCTTAAGAAATTTTGCCACACATGATGTTCCTGACATACAATGCATCGACTTCATGCAGTTCAGCGGAGTAGTTAGTCGAGCCAAAGTTTCAGCGAAATAAAGCTAGCGTCATTTAAATTAGTTGAGTTAATCAATCCTGGTTCGACTATGAATGGGGTAGACCAACTCGTCTCCAATCACGTCGCAAGAATGAAATGAACCAAGTGAACCAGGTCAGGTAGGACAACCGAGAGCTGTGAGAGAAGTCGAGTGCAGGAATAGCCATCACTTCTCAACCGTATTGTTTGATACAGTATACAGCCAAAGACTTGGTCAGGCTCAAACAGCGGAAAAACATCAGGATAACAATAACAAACCATCATGAGAAAATGGAGTAGAATGCCGAGTACACACAAAAAAAGAAATGACGTAAATAGAACAAATCGAGATGAAATATTGACAACTAAATGTAAGAAGGTGCATGCAATAGCGGCAGTGACCGCACGACAGCCCCGCGCGGGCATCAAACGCGGATTTCGCCCATCCGTAGGACTCCATCCATAAAGGCGGTGTGCATTAAGTTGACTGAGTTTCTCGGCAAATTTCTTCAAGCCTTCCTGTTGCCTCCTCGCGGCTTCACCTAACTAGGTGGAGTAACAAGGTACAATATAAACTGTGGAAGGTGGTCAATAGGTACACTTTTCACAGGAACTCCAACAGTTCAACAGATGCTGCGAATAGCGAAAATTGTAAGGTGTCCAGGTAGAAGTAATGAAATCACGACTTTATAGGGGTTCCCTGAATAGCCGTCTCAGTAAGATTACGCAAGGAACCAATACAGGAGCAATTGCTCATTCGCATCATGCACAGATCATAGGGAACCTGAGGGCATTCAGTCGAGAGGTACCCCACCAGATTTGATAAAGGTGGGCACATACTATATCAGCAGTTCAGTTCAGTGAAAAACCACGATCCATACATAAAAGAGTGATGGATTCAGTTGTTTTGACTCAATTAATTGCAATTAAAAATAGTAATAATAATAGATCAGGATGCACAGAAAGAAAAGCAAACTCGATAGATGCAGTGGTTCAGAAGCAGGGATAAAAGAACGAAGGCAACTGGAACATCGCTCTTGCTTTATCTGCTACAGATTTATCAGTTTCCAGTGAGTTTTGACATTTTCTTCGGTTAGACTGCTTACAAAGTCACTAACGCTGCCCTTCGCCAATTACTGAAAGCGGACTCTGAGATACTGCCCGTGTCGCATGAATTTATCAGAAAGCGTTTTTTGACTTAAAAAGCGATCTTCTAGATCAATAAACTGGTCTTCGGCACTATACCATCAACAGGATGCAGATTAGGGATTGTTTATTTGAGTGGCACGCGCGCTCCTAATGCCTTTTTTGCCAGTGGTAGATTTCTATTTTTTAATGTTGTTTTAAAACATCCGCACTGGATAATGTAAAATGATGAAAATGTACGTTCGCGGGTACATAAAGCTTATATTGACTTCGCTTGAACTTCACACACGTGCCACTGGTCTCATAACTACACCACATCAGAAACTGTTTCTAAACAATGATTGCCTATAATTTTCGACGAAATGAACTGCAGGAGGTACCCATTCCTTGATAAATCTCTTGATACGTGGTTGATCGAATTCTCAACTAGCAAACTAAGCATCGCGTCCTACGGCTGTGTGATCTCTGTAGGTTTATTAGACCTAATGGTTTAAAGCTGTCTACTTGTGGTCTCGGAATATTGTACTATCGCAATGTCGATCTCCCTGAACAGAGCGAAAAACAACTAACGTGGTTATATAGGCCATGTCGAACACACGACATAAAATCGGCAAAGTCCATACCAAAATCAAGCTTTTAATAACCCTCACCTCCTTGATTATTCGACAGTGCAGCCCTATTTATAGGAATATGTGAGTGAATAACAGAAAGGCTCAAAGAAATATAGAGGCCCATCACCATGTCGGTTTAGTATAGCGTATACTCTAAACTTTCAGAAACGTTGTCAGAAGCTTCATCTCGGAGCTCTTCGGCAGCGATGACTCAAACATACCCTGACGTTACTGTGCAGTGATACACCAAATGATCAACCCGTTTGTGTCTATTTCGAAAATCAAACATTAATTCCCAGGGACATTTTGAAACAAGGGTTATAGACTAATTGTACGAAGAACAAGAAAAGCTATAGACGTAGGTTGTTACCCCATTGCACTCCACGACAGCTTTCCAACTAGTTTATGCTCAACAGCTAGAGTAGCACGGCGGTAACATTACCAAGGAACTGCCAGTCGAGGTCTTTACACAACCCGTGATTCCAAAAATTGACCTTTCCATGTGACAAACATTGATCGCCGCCACTTTGTCGCGGTTGACATCCGAAAGGTCCCTGGTCCGAGTCACAGTCTTGCTACTCAAGCTCGAGTGTTAAGTAGCACGAAACCGGTCAAGGGGAGCAGTGTTGTAATCAGGCAACACTAAAAGTTTTACTATTTCAGATACGATGCCACTGACCAGGGTCAGCTTCACAGTGAGTTACTGGGCACACTGAGATTGCGCACACGCCCCCACCCCTCGCCGACCAGGATAACCATTCGCTCATATTGCTTTTTCATCAAGTACACCGACATACCGAAAATATTACCAACGACAAAAAACGTAGCACGCCGGTAGGCAGGAGGGACGCTTCGCTGCTGTGCAACCATCACCAGTCGCAAGCGGGCTAAGGATACTACGAGACTCCACCGGTCCCTAAACAGGCTCCAACCTGTGCCCACGGATTACAAGGCAGACTTATGATTTGTAAGGCTAAGGGCCGACTACCAGCAGGTCATGCGTAATAGGAAAAAAATACATTCCACATCAAAATTGAAAGCTTCTTCGACTTGAACTTGGCAATGACAGTGTTTTCATCAGAAAAATCGGCCGATGATTTCGTGCAGGAGGGAAAAAGGATATGGTCGGTGGGGACAGAAAATTGGCACACAGAAACAAAAACATACATAGAAGCCGTGTATCCCATCTGCTGGTAGTACTAACGCAGTGGTTTGGCACGTACGTATGCCTGGCCACCGCATACTTAGGCCTTGTTTAGTCTGCCAGATGTAAGGTGGCGAAAGGCTCCATGTGGACAAAAGTTGACTTGGGGGGGGGGCGTAACCACGGGCGAGAGATAAGACAACAAAGTGGAAAATTTCGAACATTCATGGTACAAAAACAGATTCCAATGACCTATGGGAGTGTAAAAATCAAACCGGGGATATTGTCAACATGATGTCAAGCTACGAAGAGAAACAAACAAGTATTCGGAAACTGGGAGGCGGCTAAGGCCGAAGAACAAGTCAGAGGCAAATTACAATAGTCAATACGAAGCGAAGCGAAGAGAGAGAGAAGTGAAGTATCGTATAGACGGAAAATGGAAAATGAAATGAAAATAACCACACTCTAAGCACCTCGACACTGAAGACTATAACACACTGAAGATCATTTGCCTGCTTGGAGCGTCACGGAAAGTAATACACTTCAGTCGGGTATGTAATTAGAATGTGAAATAGGTCGAAGGTAAAACAAACGAAACTGGTCAGTGACCCTTAGCACAGTATCAAATGTAATGTGTGCTATGAACTCTGACGCTCCTATCAACCGACGGAAGCGACATGGGGTACTTCTGGATCACACACGTCGGCAGACGAAAAGAGAAAAATAGAGGTCATCGATTTCGGAGCCAGCTCATGTGAACCAGTTTGGGATGACCGCCTCTTCGAAGTATAAGGTTTTCGTACACGACTAGCCAGGATCTGCTCCAACCATTACCCTTTCAGGTCAATCACTGGAAGTGGTAGACAAGTTTGTTTACCTCGGAAGCTGCTAACGGAAGCGCTAACGGTTTAACGGATGAAGTCTCCTAGCGCGTCTCTAAGGGCCGGGTTGCGCTTGATAATCTCCGC